CACTTTACCCGAATCTCAAAAGGAGGCTAGGCGAGTATATTTAAAATCATATGATTACGCCTTGATTGACAAAGTCCTATTTCATTCTCGAGTTGCTAAAGCTAAACGAAACAAAATGATGGATCATTATCAGATTTTTATACCCGATGCGCTCATTAATACTGTACTTGTTGTTCATGATTCACCTCTTGGCTGACATTGCGGGATAAACAACACTTTGGACAGGGCAAAAGAACACTTTTTATTTCCCAGAATGGGAAAAATCATTCCAGACTATGTACAATCATGTCACCTTTGCCAAATTCGCAAGGTCTCAAATAAGAAAACAAAGCAGGAAATAGTGTCCGGCCGAACCATTTCAGGTGTGGCAGATGGACCTATGTGGTCCTTATCCAATTTCCGTTAATGGAAATACATTTGTGTTTACAGCGGTTGATATGTTCACCAAATTATTATTTGCATACCCGTTGCGAAATAAGGATGCAATAACGGTATGTGAGACAATATACAGGATGTTTACTACTTATGGAGTTTGCCAAACTTTGATATCGGATCGTGGTAGTGAATTTACCAATAAATGTACAGCCGAATTATGTAAATTGCTTGAGGTTACATAAGAGTTCACGCCAGCGTTTGCCCATCATTGCTTAGGGGCGCGTGAACGCCAACATCGAACGTTAGCAGAACGTTTAACTACTCATGTTCTAAAAGGAAAACCATGGGAAAACGAACTATGTTCAGTGATATTCTCAATGAATTTATCTGTAAACAACAGCATTGAGATTTTTTTCCATTCGAAATACTTTATGGGAAACGCCCAAATTTTCCGCTTATACAATTTAATAAAAAATCTTTCAAAGACATACCTGCAGATATGCGTACGTATTTTCAGGAACTCACTTGTAAATTAAATACAATACATGAAATAGTATCATTTAATGCTATCGCATCCGGATTACAAATGGAGGAAAAGGAGAATTTGATAACTAATAATTTAGAATTATCAATTGGTGACTATGTTTATTTGCAACGTGAATCTACCGTTGTAGGAAGAAAATTTCAGCAAAGAGGTAGGGCCATTTTCCCGTGAGTTTATTTCATTTGATTAGCTAGGTAAATCATGTTTTTAAATAGCCCGATAGATACTAATTATAGTATATGAAAACACGTCACATCATCTATTTTCATACCTTGAACAGGTATTCCCACAATAATCAAGGCCAAGACTATTGATTTTTTGTTTGTTTATCAAAACCAATATTGATTTTGTTTGTAAATGCCCCTGAGGAGCATTAAAATATGAATTATCAACTAATACATATTCAAAATTAGTTTTGTATTAAAAAAACATGGTGCTTCAGTTAGCGTGTTAATGTTGGTAGGTGATTTGTAGCGTACATGTATTTCACAGCTTTGTTTAACTTAAAACTAACAAAATATTAAACAAGAATGTGTCCATAGTACACGGATGCCCCACTCGTACTATCATTTTCTATGTTCAGTGAACCATGAAATTGGGATAAAAACTGTAATTTAGCATTCAAATGAGAAAGATCATATCATAGGGATCATGTGTACTAAGTTTCAGGTTGGTTGGACTTCCACTTCATCAAAAACTACATTGACCAAAAACTTTAACCTGAAACGGGACAGACGGACGAACGAACAAACGGACGAACGAAGGGACGGACGGACAAACTAACGAACGGACGCACAGACCGTAAAACTGAATGCCCCTAAGTGGCGCCTAAAAAAAGGGGGTTAAATATAAATACAAGAAACATTTAATAATCTATACAATTATCTGATATAATTCAGCTAATCTGATTCAAGATCGGTCTCTGTTTTAATGCCAAGAAGCCAAAAAATATCGGACGCATTTAATTGGGATGTTGTTTTCCTCAATTTGGATGTATCTATATCTATACACTGTTCCAGCTTTTAAGGTTTACCGTCTATATGAACCGGACAACAGCTTACACCAGTTGGTACTAGAACGGCTTGCGTAACAAACACATGTAATCTGGTCTTTTCTGCATGGCATTGTACCAAATGGATCGACCCTATGTTGTAATACAGATTCAACACTTTCTTCATGTTTTACCTACAGTCACGATTGGTAGTGTAATTGATTTTTTCCGTGGTGTTGTTTCATTTTCTGATGACTTAGGTTCCGGTGTAGGGACGGTGGTACAATGTAACAATGCCAGTACTAGTATCTACACAGTTGGTGGATTGGCGATAAAATTACTGTCTGCATTTGTTACATATCATATCATTTTCCAAAACGTTCTTGTTCAATATTTTGAAAAAATATTTTTGTTGTTTTGAAATTTTTCTGCTATGGTCTTTATAGCACACACAACATTTGGGCTTCATTGCTATATAATCAATTCTCGTGTTATTGGTTATGTACAAGCACCTACTTCAGTGTGACTCTTTGAATTAAACAAACATCCGAAAAAATGTGATAGAAACATAACATTTTGATATTTCAACATAAAAAATGAGAAAAATTAGCGTGAGATTTGAACCCCATCTTAAAAAAAATCCTTTATTTACAGTTTTAAGCGTTACCGATGGAGCCACGGCGACTCTTGAAAACATAATTGATATTCACATTGATTCAGCAGCTATATAGGTAAAATTTAGTGATGTTCCACATTTTATTAAAAAAGTTGTTTTTTAGGTATTAAGGACACACTAAACCAATTTCATTCTTACGGGGAAATATAAATTACAACAACAACAAAAAACATAACTTTGTTTTGGTTTGAAGTGTCCTTCTAGGGGGATTCCCTGTTTTTCCAACTTAAAAACACGGTAAATTCCGCATGATTGACTTTCATCCTTTTGTGGAGGTTAAATTAACTATTTTCCAGACATAACATAATACATAAAAATCGAGATATTGACCAAAAAACATTTTGATTTCATTTTTTTATCGTAAATTTTTTTCTTTCAGCACTTTTTGAAATAGGTCCTTCTGTGAAAAATTTCAGGGGAAATTGGCCCTACCTCAAATTTTTGATGGTCCGTATATAATTATTTACATTCCGAGTTCACATCGTATCAAACTCCTCGATCCAACAGGGAAAAGAAAGCTGTTGAACCCCGTACACATTAACAGACTGAACATAGCGCATATCCGAGTACCTGACCCTGCGCATTGTTTAGCTAGCGCCTTTAAATGATGAGAGTATCGAGTCGGAAGAAAATGAAACTCTCAGTTCTAGTAAGGATGACGACATTGAAAAACAACAGTCCAGCAGTGTTGACGGTGTTGAGCCTCATGTTAGGAGGTCTTCAAGAACCATTAAAAATCCATTGCGTTTCAGAGACGAAAGCTTCGTAACTGCTCATGATATTGAAAGTTAAACACATGCAAAATCCGAAAAGGTGAAACGAATTTTGGCAAAGAAAAAGAATGAAAATCAGTCATTATCTTGGTGATAACTGTGTCGCCAATTACTTGGAATATTCCGAATTTTAATTTGCTACAGTGTCGTTAAAGTTCAATAGTGAATATATTTAGTGGTATTTCTTTTGAATGACTTTGCTCCTTCGATTTGGATTTAAAAGGTTTGGTGATAACTGTATCGCCAATAACCATTGATATTTTTTTTTTGTAAATACGTTTTCGAATTAGAATTGCAGATCAATAATTTAAGAGGATTGGCATGCTAGAATGGCCCTTGTGTGGTATTCTGTCGATCTAAGGATATATGTTAGCATCGTTTGAAATGAAGCAAATGGTGTTTCATAAAACGGATTTGGTGAGAACTGTTTCGCCAAAGTAAATTTCGAGTGGTGTACTTGTGATTAGGATGGAAAATTTACAGTTTATGACTTGAATAACATTTAATGAACATTTACTTTTATTCGTTATGTTACTAATGATAGATGTGTTTTATGATTGCCTGTTTATATGATTGTGCATCTGCTACCCTTTTCATTTAAGCAGCTTTTATAAGTACATGCAGCTGTGTATATCTATCTATGTGAGTAAGAACGAGTCAGAAAGTGGTGTAGGAGATGTAATGATTTGCTTAGAACGAAAACCTTTGATTTTTTAATGCTGTCGTATGTGTGTGTAGACAAGCGAACGAGGAGTTTATGGTCTCCGCTGAGGAATCGTAACGTTTGTTATTCAATCGATGGATCCAGTTGAATATTTAAAAACTGTATCTCTATTACACTATACTTTATATTTGATGCATTAGTTGCAATATTTTTCATTGACTCTATATGATAGGTACACATGAATGTTTGGGTGCAGTCGCGATAGTTTGAGATGATTTTATAAGAGAGACAACATGTTTTAACCGTTTCATTAGTTGTTTTGAAATTGCATAAGTATTTCTTATATATGACTTTCATGTTCTATATTTTTGTTAATTATTACAATGTTGTATTCCGTCTGTGAAACTTCTTTCTTTCGGGGCTAGGATGTTGTATACATAATTTTCGTTATAAATAAGGGTTGCTAGTTCACAGTCTGGTATCTGTATCATTCCGGAATCGGCAAGGGTTATTCCGTATTTTGTTTGATGATAACTCTCTCTCTCTTTTCATGTCAATGCGGGTAGCAGATGTAATTTTTATAGAGAGCCAAATATTACAACAAAAACTATTTTATTTGTGTTTATTTGTGTCCTTAACATATAAAAGTCCCTCAAGGATACAGAAGCAAATACAACACCGTTGAAGTCTAAAAATGGGTTTATCTACTATGAAACAAAATCTGAGAATATATGCTTCTTTTAAGAAAACTTTGTACTAAATTTCTGTATCATAAATAGAAAAAATCAATTGGGTTGATGTTAGTTCGCAGTAATTTATGATTCAACACTAGTATTCAAAACTACTATAAGCATGAATGGATTTAATTTTCGTTATAATAATAAAAGGAAACATACTAACTAATAAACAATACAAATACACTGCAAAAGTATCAGATAGAAAATGTCTAACAAATTTTCTCCCTTCAAATTTGATAGAAGAAGAAGGAGAAGAAGAAGAACAACAACAACAACAGCAACAACAACATCAACAACAACAACTTCTTCTTAAAGAAGGAAAAAAAGGGGAAGAACAACGACGACAAGAAGAAGAACAGCAACAACAATTGAAAGAAGAAAAACAACGACGACTAGAAGATGAACAAAAACAACAACAATGGAGACAACAAAAAGTAGACGAAGAAAAACACCAACGAAAAGAAGAACAAGAAGAACAAAAACAAAAACAACAACAACAACAACAAGACGAAGAAGAGAAAAGACAACAAAAGCAACAAGAAAAAGTTGGTGAAAACAAAGACAAACGACGCACACAAGAACAAGAAGAACAACAACGACAAGAACAAGAAAAACGACGACGGCAAGAAGAAGAACTACGACGACAACAAGAAGAAGACGAAGAAGAAGAAGAAGAACTACGACGACAGGAAGAAGAAGAAGAGGAAGAAGAAGAACTACAACGACAACAAGAGGAAGAAGCAGAAGAAGAACTACGACAACAAGAAGAAGACGAAGAAGAAGAAGAGCTACGACGAAAACAAGAAAACGATAAACATTATTATGATGATGATGATGAGTAAGATATTAACTATATCAACAAAATAAATCATCTTTCAAAATAAAAATATTGTTCATAACTTCTTTTAAAAACCATTTATTTATAAACAGTAACAATATTTTGGATAAACATATGAGAAGTGTCTGTTAGCTTTGAAAAATAATATCAATGCTAATATACTTTACATTATAAACAAACTTTATTTCAACTGTCACTGAAATAAAAAATACAATTCTCACAATTACACCAAAAAGTAAAATAAAATAAAAATACTGAACTCCAAGGAAAATTCAAAACGGAAAGTATCTAAGCAAATGACAAAAAAAAATAGCTCAAACACATCAAACGAATGGAAAACAACTGTCATACTCCTGGCTTGGTACAGGCATTTTCTTATATATCTAAAATGGTGGTTTAAACCTGGTTTTATAGCTATCTAAACCTTTAAATTGTAGGACAGTCGCATAAAATTCCATTATATTGACAACGATGTGTGAACAAAACAAACAGACATAATAGGTAAAATGTCAAAAAATACATATAAAAATGTTTAAAAGCCACATATATGAGAGATGAATAAAATTCCTTCTGTTGAATATGTACACTTTAAATTATAAACAGGACACAGTGGATTTCTTTTCTTGTTCGTCAAGAAAGGTCCACTGAAACCATTTGGTCAATAAGAACTAGATTTAGTCTGTATATCCTAAATTGAGGTAAATTATATGGCCTTCATAATACCGTTTCCATTCCTAACATCACTGAAGAGACATTAATTGTCGAAATCCGGATATGGTGTATAAATATTTGCATCTCGTGTTGGCGGTATACCATCTTTTCCGAAAGTGTATTGTTTTCTGTTTGGTATTAAATTAATAATAAGATCTATTTTGTTACATCTTGTGATCCGTTTATTTGGCAATCGCCAATGGCAGTCAGCAGGGTTTAAGAACATCAGTTGTTCGACCTGCTAGTCAAATGCGTTTTGTTAAAATATACCTTTTCATTCATTTGGTCTTTTGGAAAATGTTGTTTGTGCTGTATTTAGACCCCTCTACCAAGAAATTTGTTTTGCATGCACACGTATAAAAATTGCGGTTTTTATCTAATGCAATCATAGGTTTGAACGTTGTTTTCAATTTAGACTTGTATATATATATATATATATATATATATAAGTCTAGAGATTTGCACAACGATACTAATATAAGATGGTATTATACGAAGATGTTGTTAATAAATCGTGTTGACAAATATTTCGGCTTAACAAATAGCCTTCTTCGGTGTCAATTATTTTAACAATACTGATAATATGTATAAAAATAGCTCAATAATACAGGTAAGTTTTGGTCTATTGATTTAATCCAAAATCCTGAACATCATAATATAAAACAAAACTCAATACTCAAATATACGTGACTGTGTATATTTACAACCCAAAATGAGTGAAAAATAAAACTTAGTATTTTTTATTGATGCCGTTTGGATGATGTACATTTAGTTCCTTTATCCAAAAGCTTTCCCGAACCTGTCGCTGGACATCACTCTAGTGAATGTTCTGTTCAATCACTAGGATCTTCATGCGGTTAAAGTCATCAAGTGTGTGACCAGACTGTCTGAAATGCTGAGAAACTGGGAGAAGTGGCTTCTTAGAGATATTACTCCTATGGCCATTGAGGCGTTTGTGGAAAGGCTGCTTTGACTCACCAACATATTGGAGGCCACAAACCGAACATTCTAGAATGTAAATAACATTCATACTTTTGCAGTTAACATTGCAAAATATCTTATAGTTATTTTCGGTTGCCTTATTGTGAAAAGTTGATGAGTGATGCATCTGTAGGCAGCATTTGCAGCGTTTTTCATCACACGAACGACATTCTCCAGAAGTACTTCTATTATCAGACACTTCAGCCCGCACCAGCAGGTTACGCAGACTATTGGGTTGCCTAAAAGCTATCATGGGAGGCTCGGGAAAAATCTTGGATAGTTTGGAATTCTTTTCAACTGTTTTCCAATGCTCACGAATGACACCGAAGCTGTTTTTGAGAGATGGGTGGTAAGTAAGAACACATGGAGTCCTTTTATTTTTCTTTTTTTATTTGTATTCTAACAGTTTACTCCTTGGAATAGTTTCCGCTTTCTGAAAGCCTTTTTGGATAGTTTTGTGTTTGTAGCCCCTTCTCTTCAAGCGGGTTTCGAGTTGACGTAGTTGTTTTTTAGTTGTTTCTGAGTTGGAACATATTCGCTTGACTCTGAGTGCCTGACTGTACGGGATGCTCTTAGTACAATGAGCAGGATGGCAACTTTTAGGGGACAGATATTGGTGAGTGTCAGTAGGCTTAGAATATAGATCAGTGGATATGATGCCATCTGTGAGCGAGCTGGAGGTATCGAGGAAGGTGATTTTGGATTTAGATTTCTCATGAGTAAATTTGATACTTGGATGTATGTTGTTAGCATGAGTGATGAATGTATCTAAATCCTCGTCACTTTTATTCCATTTCATATCCACATCATCTATAAATCTAAACCAGGAAAGCGGTTTTTCGATGGAAGATTCAAGGAGTTGTTTTTCTAATTTGCCCATAAATATGTTGGCATATGATGGAGCCATTTTGGTGCCCATAGCAGTTCCATTAACTTGCAGATAATGGTCTCCATCAAAAGTGAAGTTGTTGTTTTTGAGTACCAGCGTGAGCATTTTGACCAGGCATTCAGTAGGTAGATATTTCACTGGTCGGGAATTCCAAACTTCTTTACATGCATCAATGCCATCTGCATGTGGAATATTCGTGTAGAGGGAGGTGACGTCCATAGAGACAAGTGTCGTGTCGGAGGGGAGTGGATTTAAGGCCTGCAATTTTCTAAGATAATCGGTAGTATCTTTGATGTGAGATGGTAAGTCCTCAACATGTTGACAAAGATGGAAGTCAACGAATTCCGATATTTTTTCCGTCGGATGACCGTTCGCTGAAACTATAGGTCTTCCTGGGTTGTTGGCCTTATGAATTTTAGGTAAAAGATAAAATCTGCCCGGTTTTGGATTTTCTGGTTTCAAATATTCTAGAGTCTTTTCATCGATGAAACCATCGTTGTGCATTTCTACCAAACTATCAGTTATTTCTCTGCTAAAAGATGTTGTAGGATCAGAGTCTAGTTTTTGGTAGAACCTTGCATCGCCAAGTTGTCGTTCAGCCTCTTGAATATAGGCAGATTTATCCATGACAACCACTGCACTGCCTTTGTCTGCAGGTTTAATGACGATATTGTCGTTAGATCGTAAGTTTTTCAGTGCAGTTCGTTCTTCATTGGTAAGATTGTCAAAAGGTTTATTGTTATTTCTAGTATTTCTAATAATGTCCGACTTAAAATTGTCAATAAATGATTCCAAGGTGGCATTTTTGCTCGGTTTAGGGATCCAAGTACTCTTTTTTATAAATTTGTAGTTGTTTTCGTCTTCAGAAATTTCTGAGTCGCTATCCGAGCCTCTGTTGTTGTTCTCCTTCGACGCGAAATATTCCTTAATGCGTAGACTTCTGGCAAAATTGTCAAGGTCTTCCGACAATTTAGTTTCATTGACAGGGGCAGGTAAAGGACAGACATTTAAGCCTCTCGAGAGAAGAGATGTTTCAGCTTCCGTTAACTGGTGTTTGGAAAGATTGACCACAATGTTGGAGGGCGAATCAGTCTCTAGTGACCTACGTTTAAAGCGCCTTACTCGTTTTCTCTTTTTTTCAGATGGTAAAGAAGGATTGATATGTTCGATGCCATCCCTACGGAATTTTCTTTTCTGCCTTTCACTCAAATTTTGAGATTGTATGGTTGTTATGTCTTTAAGGCGAGCACTGATAGCATCACAATTGTCAGATGTGAGATCTTTTTTGCAGCTATTTGAAAGGGTGTTAAATTCGCCAGTAAGAGTTTTCAGATATTCTTCGCAGTGTTGTTTGAGGAGGACCATTAACCGCTTGGAACAATGGTAGAGGGTTTGATCCCATTTGCGAAGTAATGTGTTGGATAAATTGCCAGGTGTTTGTGGCATGAGCTTGATTTGTAGTCCGTTAGGAATACTTTCATTATACACATAATGGGTTAAATTAGATAAGTGGTGTTCAGTTCTAATTTGTTTTTGTTTAATAGCTCTAAGTTGTTTAAAATAATCATTGGTGTTCATGATATAAGAGCTGAAAACTTAAATTCACTGGGATCATGTGAATAACATAATACAGGTCATTCAGAGGAAAATAATATAGAAGTCTATAAAAAGGACCAACCAGCAAATTTACTATGTACCGGATCGTCTAGAATAGACGATACTGTGCAGATAATGAAAAAATTATATAAGTCTAGAGATTTGCACAACGATACTAATATAAGATGGTATTATACGAAGATGTTGTTAATAAATCGTGTTGACAAATATTTCGGCTTAACAAATAGCCTTCTTCGGTGTCAATTATTTTAACAATACTGATAATATGTATAAAAATAGCTCAATAATACAGGTAAGTTTTGGTCTATTGATTTAATCCAAAATCCTGAACATCATAATATAAAACAAAACTCAATACTCAAATATACGTGACTGTGTATATTTACAACCCAAAATGAGTGAAAAATAAAACTTAGTATTTTTTATTGATGCCGTTTGGATGATGTACATTTAGTTCCTTTATCCAAAAGCTTTCCCGAACCTGTCGCTGGACATCACTCCAGTGAATGTTCTGTTCAATCACTAGGATCTTCATGCGGTTAAAGTCATCAAGTGTGTGACCAGACTGTCTGAAATGCTGAGAAACTGGGAGAAGTGGCTTCTTAGAGATATTACTCCTATGGCCATTGAGGCGTTTGTGGAAAGGCTGCTTTGACTCACCAACATATTGGAGGCCACAAACCGAACATTCTAGAATGTAAATAACATTCATACTTTTGCAGTTAACATTGCAAAATATCTTATAGTTATTTTCGGTTGCCTTACTGTGAAAAGTTGATGAGTGATGCATCTGTAGGCAGCATTTG